GTAGAGAGGAGCTTGATTTAAATTTATGTAGCTTCCACCTAGTTCGTCGAAAAATAAAACTTTCCCACCAAAGTTTCCACGCATCTGTATGTGGGACTTGCGCGACTTGGGGCTGATCTTAAATTTCCTGAGTCGCACATCAATACGAAATACTCTCATAAAAATTACAGCTTTTTATCTTGTCTGTAGTAAATTTTCCATCAAAACTTTCGCGTGCCCATACGTGAGACCTAGGCGCCCGCTAAAGCTGAAATTTATGGAGTCGCACATCGGCAGGAAGAGTCCTAAAATTTCAGCTTCCTAGCTTTTCTAGTTGTTGAATTGAAAAACCCGGGTAAATATCCGGGCAAAGAAATATGCACAGGCAGGATTTCGGCGCAAAATGCATAAAAAATGAACTGCTCGCTTATTTCGCATTGCCTCCTCTTATTAACCAGGCTCTGGCTTTAGAGCGAGTCAGGCAGTTACTAGTCACATGAAGTTTTACACACGTTAAGTAATGCACAAACGTCATTGCCATTGTTTAGCGGGTTGTTTCGTTCTACTTCTTTGTAGGTGTTCATGGTAGTGGCTTTTCGGCACCTCACTGCCAAAATTTAGTTTCTTTTCTTGCTTCCTACGTGATGCTTTTGGTCTTTACCATTTTGTATAATGTTTTTTGTAGGGCGTACTGTTCTTTCAGCTTTCGCCTTTGCAAAAACCTGATAGCCCTCATGACGTTTTACACATCCCTAATGAATCTGGCTTGCTCAGCTCGTCGAAGGAAAGTGGGGATGCCGTTCTGCAGTTTGAGATGATAGCCGGGTCAGCGCGTGTTACGCTGAAGCAACGAGAAAAAGGTTTCAAACGCTAGCGTAGCAAACGGGGAGGACAGAAGTGAACAAGCAAGGATCAGGTGCGAGTGATCTCTTTTCAAAGAGTACAAATAGGCTGGTATCAAAACAGAAACGCCGCTTTTTATCACAATTATTATCAGTTTTTGTAACGCATCTGAAAAACAATTTGTAAATGTTAAAAATAACACAGATCTTCGCAATTATTACGTAAATAACAGATTTTTACTTCTGAACTGCTGATAAATTGAAAAGTATTTCTTCTTTCGGGAAATTTTTTGCTAAACCACTAGCTGCATCTGTGGAGGAGGAAGAGGAAGAAAGCGTACATCAGTCATCAGTTTCAGCTCTCCGATATTTCGCCGGTGAAATTCAGTACATGGAGAATTCAAATGTTGATTGTTCGTAGGTTGTGCGGAATCCACTAATGAAATACTGTGAAGCATGAAACAGACGTGAAAATATATGAATGTATGCGAAGAATGATACATCTAAAGTTAGCATTTTCACTGTGCTTGCTGCCGTTGGTCAGTTCCGTAACTGTGCTGCTATTTTTGATCGGTACAAAACCATCCGAAAGGGCTACATTTGAATTTCTCGCTCAGCAACTCGCAGTTAGAGGACATCAAACGATAACAGTCAAGCAGATTCTGATACCGGAAGAGCCAGCGCTTGTCAAGCACAAACTGCATCTAGTCAAGGAAAAAACACTTAAAAATTTACTTCCCAGGTGAGTAAACTCGAATTCAAAATTGTGTTTTCCACAACTACGCACTGCATACAAAAAAGCGTTCAGTGCTGATTTATAACATAGATTGCTCATGAAGTTTACGACTTCTGGACGAAATAGAAAGATAAGGCATATGTGACTTAATAGATCGAAACGTCTTACCTCACTCTTTCCTTCTGATCCTATCTTTGATTGCAATCTTCCAGCTTTTACAAATTAAGCATCCGGGTCTAACCTGGTTGATGCAGTCTAATTACAGGTTCCAAGACGAATAAAGAGGCTAAGGAATAACTACCTCCTACTGTCTAGAGATTTTTTACGAGCGGAAAAACTTATACTTACATGAGCCACATGCACAAATAAAAAAATTTTAGAAACTCGCGGTGACGCTTCTATTGCATGCTTTTCGTTATAGGTTTTGAATTGCACTCCTTTGAACTGGAACAAGAAATTGCTATTGGCAGATACGGCCTATGCGAGCCAGCAGCGATGGACAAAACGATAGATATATTCCACTGGCAAAATAGTGACAAGCACAGCAAGTAACAACTGGAGGCGAATAGCTCCCGGTAGGGTACACAACCGGATCTAAGG